CTAATTGCCATTAATGCGATATCCCCAAATGCCTTTCCTTCGTAAATCCCAAATCATCTAAGTATATTATTCACCATCTTAATTCCACAATTATTCATCCCATTAATTGGGTCACTTCATGTTACCAGCGGTTAAGATCTTCTCCTCTTCATCTCTCATGATCAACATAGTAGATAAAAATAGAACACATAGACACAATAGATAGGGAGACTATTATTTATTACTCTCAATATTGATGTTTACAATATAGAATTCCTACATATATATATATATATAGTCCTGCCAAAATATAAGAGTTTAGTAAAAACCCACGTAACAAACATATTAGGATTGTCCGTATGTTTTACGGACAATCTAAACCGCTGGCCGAAATTAGAAAAGATAACACACACAAAGAAAAAGGTCGCCTCGGCCAGGACTCGTACCGTGTCTGCAGCCGGTTTTAGTCAGTTTTGCAAATTAAACCGCGTATGTGCAGTACCAAATCAGAGCAGCGAGTGACAGAGATCGATGCTCAACTTCGCCGAAAACCGAAGCCAGAGAGTCAAAATCGAATTACTATGCTACAAATCGAAGAAGGTCCTCCTCAACCGCAAATGAATTTGCAAGCCAGTAAGCCACTACTCTATATATCGCCTTCAAATCGAACGCTTTCGGAGACCTTGGTGATATGATGAGCAGCACCAGCAACGGCAGCCGTGATCTCGGCGCTGGCCGCTGGCAAGCCATCAAATCTAGCCTAGCCAGCACCAGCACAAACATGCACGAATCGCAGTTTCTTTTTTTTTATGCCTGAATCGCAGTTTCTTGCCTCATCGGATTGAGACCGCTCGTCTGAATCGAAGCCCAGGCTCACAAGGGACAAGGCTTACTCGCAGTTGGAGTTAGGGAGGGCAGGCTGACCACTCAGCTGAACTCATGCTCTCTATAGATAGACTAGGGCCTTGTTTAGATCACCTCCAAATTTTAAGATTTTTCACTCTCTCTCCATCACATCAATTTTTAGACGTATGCATGAAGCATTAAATGTAGGTAAAAGAAATAACTAATTACACAGTTTGGTTGTAAATCACGAGACGGATCTTTTGAGCCTAATTAGTCTATAATCGGACAAAGTTTGTCAAATACAAACGAAACGTGCTACAGTGTCCATGTTGTAAAAATTTACAATCTAAACAAGGCCTAGAGAAAATGTTCGATCTTGTGTAGAGAATAATACAGCAATCATTAAAAAGGGGCTGCTCTCCACGAGAATAAAAAAGGAGATCGCACCTGACAGCTTTTTTTTAGCAACGATTGCACCTGACAGCTTTTTTTTTTTTTTTGAGAGGAATTGCACCTGACAGCTGAGTTGGTTATTTTGGACACAGAGAAAGCAGGCTTGAACCCATGAAGCAGGCTCACCGCAAAAGCTGGGCCTCGGCCTGAAGGAGCGGCGGAGCTTTAATTGGGTTTCGTCGCGCGAGGTGGGATAAGCTCCGTTGGGTCGGCTTCGCTGACTGTCGAAGCGATTAGGGCCGATCGAGGCCTTTGTGGGCCTTACACGCGTTGGGCTTCGCAAAGGTAGGTGATTTCATGTCAGAAAAAGGCCACGTTACCTCCCTCAACTTTTGCGAAAGTCTGTTTTTTCTCTCTGAACTCTAAAACTAGATAACCACCTCTCTTCACTTTTAAAATCGTTCGTTTTACCTCCCTAACCGGTTATAAGTGGCTTTCAAAGGTGGTTTTGTCTTTTTCTTTTTTATTTATTTTAGCTAAATCTTTAAAAAATCATAGTAAATTATAGAAAAATTGTAAAATATAAAATCTAATTTTGTTGGACTTCACATGAGTATATCTACACAGTGAACATATAATATGATATATATGCTTTAATATAAAGTTTTTGTTGTGGCTTTATATCCATGTTTTTCTATAATTAATTCATAGTTGTAGTTTCTATGGTTCAATTATGGTGAAATTTTTATGGTAGGCTAGTTATTGTATGCTTGAACTATAGTAAAAATTTTATACTCATTGGATCATGTATAACTTAGTTATAGATTTTATAACTAAGTTATACATGATCCCATGAGTATGATATTTTTACTACAGCTTAAGCATAAAATAATTAGCCCACCATAAAAAAAATCACCACAACTAGACCATAGAAGTTGCAGCTATGAATTAATTATAGAAAAACATATATCTAGAGCTACAACAAAAAATTTGTACTAAAGCATACCATATTATATGTTCCATGTGTAAATCTACCCATGTGGAGTCCAACAAAATTGAACTTTCTATTTTATGATTTTTCTATGATTTACTATGATTTTTTCAAATATTCAGCCAAAATAAAAAAAAAAAGATAAAACCGCCTTTGAAAACCTCTTATAACCGGTCAGGGAGGTAAAACGAACGGTTTTAAAAGTTCAGGGAGATGGCTTATCCGGCTTTACAGTGCAGGGAGAAAAAACAGACTTTCCTAATATGGACTTTTTCCTTTCGCATCGACGTAGCCCGTCTTCGCTTGCCGGGCTTTGCTCCTGAAACGGTAATCCATTCACCGAGAGATGAAGGATTAGAGAGGGCCCAGAATTCAGGAATTTCAACGTAATCCTTGCGAAATTCTTGTATTCTAAAGGGGGTCTTAGAGTATGTCTGGACTTTATAGCATATTTTGAATTATAAAAACTGAGTTGAGTCACATTTGGATTATAACAATTTGAATTATTGATTACAATATTCGTCGTCGTTTGGATTCTTGGATTATAAAAAAAATTCAATCCACGGTGGGTAGACAACCCCTGGGTATTCCGGATCAAGAAGAAGATCTTCTCATGCAGATCGAGAAAACTTCCGAACCCCTGTCCCACCCATACACAGCGGCACCCTAGCTCCGTGAAATGAGCTGGCCACAGACCTTACTTTTTTTACCACATATAACCTCATATTAGTAGGTTTGAAATGAATTATACTAACTTCATGCTAAATGTAATTCATTTTGACTTCGTCCTAAGTTAATCTTGTCTAAAATTTGACCAAGTTTATATAAAATTACATTAACACATTTACAATATAAAATGAATCTATTGTCAAAATATATTTCATGGTGTTTCTAATGAATATAGTTTGGTGCAGCAGATCTTTGTGTTTTTTCTAACGAGGCGGTGGTTGTAATGATTTTTTGTTTGATGGAAAGGTTGTAATGAATTGACCAAGTTTCTAATGAATTGCTAAAACTGCTGCAGTGGTTGTGATATGTACTACAGAGCCATGCTGAGGTGGTTTCTTTTTCTTTTCTTTTTTTGAGGTCATTTTTTTTAGGTCAGGCGGTTTCTGAAATCATCTTCCTTATTACTCCCTGCGTTCCAAATTATGTATAAGTTGTTCTAGCTTTTGTAGCTACATAGATTTTTCTATGCATCTAAATATGCACTACGTTTAGATGAATAACAAAAGCTATGTACTAAAAAATTAAAAAGACTTATAATTTGGAACGGAATCTAGTATATAATGACATGCTGAATTAGAATAAGTCGTTTCGGGATTTTTTTTTTTTTTTAGATACATAGAGTTTGCCATGTATCTAGACATCTAAATGCATAGCAAAATCTACGTATGTACATCTAGAAAAGCCAAGACGATTTATAATTTGGAATGGAGAGATTTATATATGATGATACTGGTGAGGGGTGGTGAATCAGGTCTATTCGCCCATTCTGGAGAACAAATTAAACACTGCTCGTTTGGGACACATGAACAATGTAGCAGTAGTACTTGTGTCAAAACCTCTGTACCGAAAAAATCTCACCCTCACCCTGGACAGTCCAGTACACTCGAAGTACACTATAGTATAGCTCAGCTCCTTATTTATTTTTCTTCCTAATCCTGCCGACAATTCATGCATGCATCATATGGCTTATGGCGCGAGACGACGAGACGACGACGGATGGAGCTGCTGCGCGCGCTAGATAGGTCGGAATCCCTCACCAGATTAAAAGTTCCAGCAGGCGCGCATGCGGTTCAGAAACTACGTACCGGCGGGGCCTCTGCGATCTGCTGTGTTGTTCGATTGATTAATTCTCCCTACCAAAAAGATCATTCCCGTCACTAGGGGCCACACCCACACCGGGGCATCTACGATCGAGACGTCCGTGCGTGCTCCATCGATCGATCGATCTCTCAACTGCCACTGCTACCAATTCTGATCGATCGAGCACCGTAAAAAATTCTACTAGTAAGTACACGTACGCGCAACGATCCTAAAAGGCTAATCCCCGTCTCATTGCGCACCGTCGCCATCTCACGAATATTTATATTTATATATATAATAAATATGTGAGGTTAGCAGCATAATAAGCTGTTACTGTCATCGTCGTGGTCGCTGTCTCGCATCTAGCTGTCTCCAATGCAATCCTATCCCCCAATGTCGCCGTAATAACTCTGGTGGGTGAAGGTGGTTGGAGTTGGCTGGAAACTCCCTTCCGCATGCGGATCGTGGGATCGGTCATCGATAGATCATAGATGCTTCTTCTTCCTCCTTTTCCCTCCGCCCTGCAGTCGTCGTCGAGAATAATCCTTGCCGTCCTTTTCGCTTCCGTGGTTGTTGAGACCCCCGCGATCCGCTCTAGAATAAGAGAGCAACAAGACACTACTAGCTAGCTAGCTAGCTAGGACGTGGTGGTGCTGCAGCAAGATTAGCATCAGCTAGCTCATCATCGTTAATTTATTCTCGCACGCACTATCGTCGTCTTCACGCACACATGTGCTGTGCATGCGGACTTTTGGCCTTAAGCTGAAACTCCTCTCCGTGCGCGTGTCTTGCTCTGCCAGTATATATGCGTCCTTGCAGTAGCTAGCAGCTTACCTCGCCGCCACCGCCGCGCACTGCAGACTGTGTGAGTGCTGGGCTCGCTCGCTCACAGTCTGCAGTGACCACAGATAGCTCTAGTGTATCCTGTCGTCCACTCCAAATTAAGAATCTGTCTGTGAGAGGCTTGCTTAGCTTGCCGTTAATGGAGGAGGGGCTCCCGCCGGGGTTCCGGTTCCACCCGACGGACGAGGAGCTGATTACCTACTACCTCACCCGCAAGGTCTCCGACTTCGCCTTCGCCACCCGCGCCATCGCCGACGTCGACCTCAACAAGTGCGAGCCATGGGACCTCCCAAGTAAGCACCATGTCCATGAGATGAGATTCAGCAGCACAACTCTCAGTGATCGATCAACTCCTTATTACACTTCCAGATGGCTCTTTTATTTTATTCGTACCACATTAACTTTTTTTGTGGCATCTGGAAGAACAATTTGGTTCTATTATTCTGAATTTCTTTCTAGTGGAGGCATGCATGCATGGAACACCCTAGATGTCTGAAGGATCTTTTTTTCTTATAATTAATTAGTTAGGCATTTTTTTAACAAAATCAAACTGAACGCCTAGCCAATAACTTCCTAACTAACTGCGCGTTTGTGTTTTTTGCAATATACTTACCTGTCGCCGCTTCTATCCAAATCAAAGATTTGGTGAGAACTTCAATGCCTTGACCTAGTTTACTAGTTGCACCCATAAACCAAGGTCGTTATCTATATGTGTACACTTCTTTCTAAGTAGTCACTGCACACTGCAGAAGTGCAGACTACAGACTGTTGACTCAGTCTGGCCATACAGATCGACTTGCACACTCGTAGTACTTCAGTGAACGATCAAGAAAAATTTAAAGAATACTAGTATCATTTAACTGTATTGGCAGTATAGGATAAACAATGCACACAGTTATGTAAGTAATACATTGCTCGGCTGCGTGCAGCTAATGTAAGTATATATGTAACTTTATAAACTAATGTGCATGCAGGCAAAGCTAGCATGGGCGAGAAGGAATGGTACTTCTTCAGCATGCGTGACAGGAAATACCCGACGGGAATCAGGACGAACCGCGCCACCGACTCAGGCTACTGGAAGACGACCGGCAAGGACAAGGAGATCTTCCACTGCGGCATGCTCGTGGGGATGAAGAAAACCCTAGTCTTCTACAGGGGAAGGGCTCCCAAGGGCCAGAAGACCAGCTGGGTCATGCACGAGTACAGGCTCCAGAACAAGTTCCCCTACAAGCCAAACAAGGTATACTCCTATACCTATATGTATGCAAATGAACTCTTTAATCATCATATATTTGTTGGACATCACAAAAGATGAGCTAATTAATGACATTATTAATGTTATGCTATGGACGAATCGAAGGAGGAATGGGTGGTGTGCAGGGTGTTCAAGAAGTGCCAGGTCATCAAGGTGAGACCGCCACAGGACAGCCCCACGATGGGCTCCCCATGCCACGACGCCGCCAACGCCGCCAACGCCTCCCTGGGCGAGCTCGGGGAGCTCGACGTCTCCTCCATCCTCGGAGGCCTGGCCGCCGCCGCGGCGCACACATCGTCCGGCTCGCCACTGGGCGCTCTGCACCACCAGGGCTCCACCGCCGCCGAGATCTTCGTCGGCGCCCACAGGCCGGCGGTGGACATGAGCGCGTACATGAGCTGGATGGCGGCGGCGGCCAACCAGGGCGCCGCAGCGGCCGCGGCCATGCTTCCTTGGGCCACGCCGTCGCCACCGGGATTGTTCGGCAATGTCTTCGCGCCGAATAACCACCAGCTGCTGCAGAAGCCGCTTCCGTTCGCCGGGTGCAGCCAGCCGCGAGAGCTCGGTGGCGTCGTGGCAAACAACGTCGTCGGAAGTGGTGAGCATGCCATGTTCGGGGGCTCCGTGGTGGAGGTTGGCATGGAATGTGATCAGCAGCAGCAGCCGGAGCAGCAGCTGGGGATGGACGAGTCGACATGGAGAACATTCTGATGATCATCGCCTATACAAGTTACACACAAAAAAGACTACTACTACGAGCTAGGCCAGATCGATCAACATATATATATATAATTAGTTATGGACTTGTGGTAAATTAATATATACACTTGTAGGGGGATATTGTAGGTGATATGGGACAAACCCATTTGGTCGAAATCAGTAAGCATAACTAGAAAAGTGCATGTATGTTGAAATGGGACAAACCCATTATTAGGTCAAAAAAACAAGTCAAGTTTTACTATAGAAGTGAACGTGTCCTGTTGATCTGTGTACTATGTTTTGTGAGAAAAAATATTATATTGATTGGTCGATTTGTTGTTGTAAGGTGAAATTTCTTAGTGGGTCCTTGAATTTGAAAAAAAAAACCCCGACAATACGTGTGTGTAAGTATCTCACTCAGGATTGGTTTAGATTTCTTCACATCTATTTCATACTATCCAGTTAGATCCTAAATTATGTGCATCATACAATCCGTATCTGGTATGGTGAACATGGTAATTACAATTTCTATTCAACTATAATGTCTACGTGTAGTTTTGGAAAATGGTAAAGGTTAAATAAAAAAATGTCCTAAATGTAAAAGCAGTTAGTTAAATATAAAATGTCCTAAATAAAAAGCAGTTAGTTAAATATATATCACAACCAAGATAAGCATAAGCATAGTATTTAGAACCTTTTTATTTAGTTTTCTCATTTAAAACTAAGGTTAGTTGTGCCTTGTTTATTTAATGATTTATCTACGTGTTTTTCCTCGAATCCACAAAAAAATTGTGCATCTTTGTATTATTTAAGATAAAATGTCTAACATACAACGACATGCTTTAGCAGCTCCCTAGGGGCTCCAAAAGCGTCATGTTCGCTTGGCTTATAAGCCGTACTTTATCAACCAACAAACGGTATTTTTCTCTCACAACAAATCAGCCAATAGTACTTTCAGTCATGGCTTATCAGCTAAGCGAACAAGGCATAAATTTAAGCACATGGCGCCCTAGTGTACTAGCTTTCTAGGCTATTACTCCTGAAAGAAGGCAACCCAACTTGGTGGCTCTGGCCTCCACCCACTGCTAGGCTCCATGCTTGATTCTGGCAAGTAGCTGAGGAATTTGTGTAGCCACTCCTCGGAAGTATCTACCGTTTCTCTTTCTCCACAACTCCTAGGCTACCAGGGTGAAGAGGGAACCCCTGGTGAAGAGCTTTGTAAGGCGACCTCATCGAGAATGTTCTATCGGTCGTCCAACACCATACAAGCGTGTCTCTAGCATCGGTGAACTGCACTCCTTGTGAACTGCATCCCAGACTAGGTACACCGCAACGGCGGCGGCTGAGAGCCCAGCGGTGATCTACTGGATCCAGTTGCCCTTCAGCGAAGCATCAACCACGGGCTTGCTTTGCTCGTACAGTTTTGTTTCTTTTTCTATCGTCTAATAACATTTGCGATAAAGCTTTTGCCGTCCTTTCGAAGAAAAAAAAAACAAACTGTCAGGGAACGAGTTCAACGAGGATTGAGTTCCCATGCACCCATCTGCCGGTCCAGAATGGCGTGTCCCATCCATTTTCGATGACCGTGAAAGTCGAAGCTTGGAAGAAAGCCCGGGACCTCCATCAACGTCTTGATCGGGAGCTCCAACCACACCTTCTCCGCTGTAGCCATAGCTACTTGATTTTGGAGGGTGATCTCGGCGAGCCTGAGATATCCGTGATCACACTGAGGCGACCCAGGTCTTCCGGTCCGCTTACTATTAGTCATGCGACCATGCATTTACCCTTGATGGCCCCTTCGTTTCCGGTCCAAAGGAACCCTCGGTAAACGGCGTCCTTGCGGGTGCAAGGTGGTAATCCACAGTTTATTTGGTAATAACGGATAGGACCGACACTTGATCCAAACAAGCTTGCGGCTTCTGGTCATGAGCGGCCCATGGCAGGCCGACAGTTTCTTTGCTATGCCGTCGACCTTTGTGTTCAATGGCCCAACTAAAGTTTTTCCTTTAAGAATCGTTGAGACACTTTGACTTAGTTTAATAAGGGACTTGCTAAAATTGAATTTAGATTTTTTTCGGACGACGGTTATTGCATATTTTTATACCAAAATTGCAGTTTTAGTTAGTTACAATTTATGTAGATATAATCTGCAATTTTCGGTTCGAGAATAAAAACTCGTTAGACAAAACCCTAAACCCGACAAAAATCTGGATTGAATTGGCATAAAGACAGTTAACAATTATTTCTATACTTAGACAAGGACAGAAATTTGATATGCTACGATACAAAGACAAAAAAATAAATCACAAAATGAGTAACAATTTACTTGTATTAGTTGGTTGAACAAGAGTTTAGCCTGAAATTATCTTAAAATTCAGGCACTTGAAATATAGGAGAAGTGGTTTAAGAAATATATAGTTGTTTAATTTACAAAAAAAATATGTAGCTGTTTATGTTTATCTAACTTTTGTAGGTGTTTTATTTCTCAAACTTTTAGGTGGACAGTGTTTCTCAATTAGCTTTATGGACCTTCTCTAAATATTCTTTATTACGTACCTTACACCTCCGTGATTGAATCTTGAATTGCATAATCCACATAGTATGTTTTTATTCACAATTATTTATTTCAATGTGTCAAAGGAAAATTTAGAAGTTCCAAATCATACAAATCAAATATAGTTTTTGCACTGAAAGCTCCAAAAGGTTTAGTTTTTCACTATAATTCAACAAAAATGAAACATTGAAACGTCCTAAATGGCTAGAGGCGGTGAATAGCCTAATAAAAGCTCTACAAAACACTAGAGCAAACTTGATTAGATAACAAGATAGAGAATTTACGGTTTTGCTCTAGCTCTATTTCACCACAATCAAGCCACCTACCACATGTTAGTTGCTATGATCTCTAAGTTGATTTTCACACAATCAAAGCAAGCTAGTCAACAACTATAACAACTAGAGAGCTAACAAAAGAACTAGTTACATATAAATACAACTAAGCTACTCAACTATCTACACAAGCAACCAACTACAACACAAGACAAGAATGTAAGTATGAAATACAAGTGAGGTAGTGAGCAATACCGAACTAGGCAAGTGTCAATAGACAATACCAAGAGACAATTGGGACACAAGATTTATCCTCGTGGTTGGTTGTTCCGCAAGCAACCCACGTTGACATTGTGGCGATACACTCATTTGGTGACTCACGCGCTAATAGGCATCACACGCCAAGCCCACCACTTGGGCATCGTAAGAACCAACACAAGAGAGGATTCACAAGCCATGAGCAATCCACTAGAGTTTTCTTTCGCGATCTCCCACGAGGAATAGGCACAAGAACCCCTCACAAATCATCGATCGGAGTCGGACACAATCACCACCCTCCGCTCAACGATCATCGCTGCTCCAAGCCATCTTGGTGGCAGCAACCACCAAGAGTAACAAGAAAACCCATAGCGAATGCAATCCCAAGTGCCACTAGATGCAAACACTCAAAGCAAAAAGCACTTGGATACTCTCCCAACTCACTAGATGAGGAATAAATCAAGAGAGATGAGTGGGAGTGTTTGGCTAGGCTCACAAGGTTGTTTCACTGTTGAAAATGCCCATGAGAGTGAGCAAGAGACGGCCAACAAGGTTAAATAGATGGCCAAAGCCTCCACTACACGTTATGTGCTCCATTCGATCGTTGGACCACTGTCATGGGCCGTCGGACCAAAAAGGAGGCTGGTCCGACGCTCGCCATGACCATCGCTTTCTGTACCGCCACGTGACTCATTCGAATCAAATTCGGCCGTTGCTCAACCAACGGCTCTCTACCACGCACTTCACGCCACCGTTGGACCCTAGAACCACTCGGTCTGACACCGTCCAAAGAGGTTCTAGAACCGCAAATTCGGTCAGACCCTGGTTCGACGCTGACCGTCGGACTGGTTCACTTTGGTCTGATGCTCGTCATTGCACCACATGTCCTCTGGCCTTCGCACTGCTTCCGCTAACCTAGCCATCGGACGATTAATAGTGATAGTGTTTAGTTCGATGGCCCGGTTTCACTCGGTCCGAGCTAGGTCTGCTACTCTCTGTCTTGCTTGAGCCACCATGGAACCCGAAGTCGTCCGGTTCGACGCTCGGTCCAATGCCCCTGTTTCAGCACCAATTGATGACCCTTGCTCTCATGTGCCAACACCAAAGTGTCTCAAACACTTGTGCTCGTGTGTTAGCATTTTTCAAGGGTAAGTTAGCACTCACTAGGTCCTAATGCATATGCAATGAATCATTTGACTTAGTGGCACTCGATAATCGTATTAACCATGAATTTTCCTCTCTTCATAGTATAGCTATCTATCCTAAACCAGGTCATGCACTCTATTGTGTCTTGACTGGCAAAACAAAATGCCCTAGCATATACCTTTGCCTTGAGGCCATGCATTTTGTTTTTCTCTTTCTTCTTTTCCAAGTTGGAGCACTTGATCACCATCTTTTGGCCATCTCCATCACCATTAGTGCCATATACCTCCTTCTTGGCTTGGACCAACCTATCTCATCGACACACTTAGAGCATAGGGTTAGTCCAATAGGTTTCATCCATTAACCAATACCAAACTAGGGCTTTCAATGTCCCCCTTTTTAATAATTGATGACAATCTCCTTAAAGATATTAATTAAATTCAATTTTGGATTAGAGTTGCTTGCCCAAGGAATTTTACCATGTGTAAAGGATTTGGACAAGAACTACAAACCCAATGTGGTAGTGTTAGCTTTCCCCTACATATGTGTTAGTTGTTTGGTTTAAAGCTTGCACATATGCTTGAATTGGAATTGTGGGAGAGTAGTAACTACCAAATGATGGTAAGGTGCAAAGAATTGACCTTTGAAGCATTATACCAATCGGAGTGCACATTTGATGTTCATCCTTAGCACCATGGTTAGCTACATACAACAAATGCTAGAAACCACTTGAAAGGTTTCTAGTACCACTTGAACAACACTATATATCTAACTACCAACCTATG